AAAAAATGTTATAGATTTGCGTACATTGTGTTTTACATATTTGTTTATTTACATTGTATTTCATGCAGTCATTCCAATACATTGTTTTTATAAAATTAATCACCATTGATTAAATTCTTCAGTGCATATTTCTATATAATTTTCCCCTTAACATTTATATATACTATTTTAAGTGAATAAATGGGAGCTCTGGTAGCCTAGTGGCAAGAAGTCCACGAATACATGAGGTTCAAATCCACCAGTTCCATGGGAGGATGGTGGAGATTAACTGCTCCTGAAAACCCACAAGAGAGTCAACTATGTGTCATTTGCAACTATATGGTCCAGAACAGCAAGTGAATAAATACTCAAGTCTGTATAAAGACTCTTGTAAGTGAGGTGATCAATTCTTAATTAATTATTATGTGACACCCTAATGGGACTGCTCTTTGGTGTTTCAGCTCCTGGATGCCTGCTCGTCTCGTCTTAAAATGGTCCACCCAGCCAGAAGGCTGTATACCCCAGAAGGAGAGCAGATTCACTCATGGGATGACATTGAGCGCGATATGGTCATCTGTGTGTCCATGGGTCATAGTTTTGTAACTCAGAGAGGTATGGGCAAAATTTGATTTTCCATTTCATTTTATTCCATTATGATTTGAATGAAAGTTTACAAAGCATATTGGGGGTTTTGGAGGGTTTTCTTAATCAAATAATTATGCATAATTTGTTCCATAACATTAATGGCAATACACACAATGTTTAATTGTTCATTTATTACACATTTTTTCTCTTTTACTCACCTTAACAAATGTTTGTTGTCTGTTAATTAGTTTCCTGCTCTTCTCTTCATGGTAACTATACAAGAGTGATTATATGTGTAAAAAGGGTACCTTTTTAACAGTGGTTTTGTGCAGAATTTGTTATTTTGTGATTGATTTATTTCACTTGGTACAATATCCTCTAGACACATCATATTGTGCAGTGTCTCATGAATTCTTTATTGTTTTTCAGTGTTGCATAATATTCCATTATGTCTGTACCGTATTTGACCCTTCCCGCAAGTTCAACGTGTCCTAAGGGGGGGCGTGCAGATGGAGGGGCAAGAGATGCGAAAAATGGAGGCAAGACAAATTTTTCTGATCAAGCCTCAATTTATTAAAGAAACTCACAGGCTATAAATAGGCAACAGTGTAGGCCGCTATGGAAACCCAGCCCTAGGATATCAGTTTACAATAGTGAAGGAGGGGCATGCCCCAAGGCATTGAATTACAGGTACTGATTTAGTGAGGTAAATGTATTCCCAGAGATGAGCAGGGTGGCCTTATGCTGAGCTTGGCCTGCTGCAGGTCAGAAGTGAATATATGGAATGAGGTCTACAGACAAAATAGAGCTGTACATGACAGAGTTAAGACCTGCTCAGGATGGCTTCCTACAAGTATTTATTCATTCATTATTGGGTACTTGGGTTGTTTTCTTCTCTTTACTAGTGTGAGTAATGCTGCAATAACATAGATATCATTTTATCTGTTCATGTTGCAGCTCTTATTCTTTAGGATATTAACCTAGTATTGCAGTACCTTATACTTGTGCCTTATACTTGTGCCAAGAAATCTGGAGAACAACCACTTGGCCAACTGACTGGAAGAGATCTATATTTGTTCCCATCCCAAAGAAAGGTACCCAATGGAGTGTGGAAACTATAGAACAATATCATTGATTTCACATGCAAGCAAGATTCTACTGAAGATTATCCAAAAACAATTGGAACAGCACATCAGCAGAGG